GTTTCACAATAGACGTTTATACACCATTCGATAGAGAATTTCAAGAGCTACATTTTGCACTATTTGTATTTCAAGATAGATAAAATCGACTTTTTGGCCTAATGTCCGCTTAGTTGCCCACTGTGCAATGGTATCGTAAAATAGATAGTGAAAATGACTGAGAAAAATACAAACTTCATACACATACCTAAATGCATTCTCTTTCGTCCCTTATGATGTTCCATTAAAACCGGCGAGCATGTCCAACTTGGATCTATCAATGGTTCAATTCTGTATGCAACAGGATCGTACTAAATTTAATTATATAAATAATCTCATCTTTTTAATTAATTGATCCTAGAACTGCTTACTGGATGGAAGATATTGAACAATCCTTTACACGTGGGTAATTCATAATCTTGAGCTAGACTGTTAATGCCACGCACAGTCAGAAACATGGCTATTGGAGACCCTGAACATAGAAAACATGATAATTCACAAATAAACAATATCAATGACTAGTGTTTACCTAGTGCAAAAAAGTAAGCGACCGGAAATTTTAATTTTGAGTACTGAACGGATAATTGGCCAGTTCCGGATACACAAATACAATAGTTTACACGCCTATGACCAACGGATTGTGACAATTCGTTTGAACAACTAGAAATTTTTCAACGAACATATGATATACATTAGTTTGATTAAAGATCTGTCAGATTTTAGTTTTACTCTTCGTCGACATTTTAACTAACCTGTTTGAAGAAGGCGTTCCATTTTCGGTATTAGTGCCTGAGATGAAAGTTAGAAAAATAGGACATTTAAGGGACAATTTCCATAAAAGTATTTACCATGAGCTATTGTTGGTTCAAGCTGTGGATCGTCTTGATTAGATACTTGATTAACTAACACATCATAAAGTATCACAGAACCTTAACAAACACATAATTACTTTCTAGAGTCTATAAATTAGTTGATTTATTTATAGTTACCAAGGCTATGTCCAATAACAGACACTTGTCCCTTAAACGATGGATTTCGTTGTAAAAATATATCATATAGTCGATTCATTTCAGATATAACACGAGATATAATCTTTTGACAATACACAGGACTTGTGTAAAACAAAATATCCAATAACGTGCCATTGGTAAAATTTCTCATTTTTGGAACACTGGGTAATGTAATGGGAGTAAGACGTCCATCTACACCAGTCGCTTCAAGATGCAAATCCCCTTAAACAGACGCGAAAGTTTTATTTATTTTTTAGTATATGTAAAGAGAAACATACCATGCCAATAAACTGGTAGAAATTCAACACGATCAATTTGTCCTTCATCCAAATACGGCTTAAAATGGTTATGTGCTATTGTCTGTGAAACAAAACGAAAATCATCAACGCAATCGACAAGCGGTCTAAATCTAGCATCACAACCCTATAATCAAAGATAAACAACGATAAGAAGATTATTCTGATGTTATCATGACTAAACAAACCTCTCCTATGCCGTGGACAACAAAACATAAATGTTGAACGCCTTCTTTTTCACCTTCTTCAATATCCTCAGTTAATTCATCTGGTAGACCACGTTTTAGTATTCTTGTTCGAGGTATTCCAGTCTACAAAATAGAAACAGATTAACATACAGCAAAATACTTTCTGCTTTTCTCACGATAATAACTCTCAAAATGATCGTACATTGACGATAATTGTCAAAACTTACCGAAAAACTTGTATATTCAGTTAATTCTCCTTCTAAACGATGTATAGCCATTAATGACGGACTATGAAAAACAAGTGTTTCACCATTAATTTCATGTTTTGTGTGCCAAATTTTTTCTGTACACGTTTTCTTGTAAACGTTCTGTAATAAACGTTAACAAATATGGTGGAATAGAAACCCAGACAATATAATAAAGTTTACTTACTTCCAATAAATCATTCGTCTCTTCATCAAAAGGCATAAAGCGTATATCATATTCACTTTTATAAAACCACAGCGAACGTCGAACATCATTTGAAGTGCCCGTCCAATAAACCGGAATACGTTTTCGTAAAGTAAGGTTAACATCGTAACGATTTCCATTGGTTGAAATTACTTCTATTTCTATGTGACACGAAATAAAAATTATCTCAGTTAGCACCTCAATGTAAATAAAGGCTGTGACACGGCTCAAATGTAGATTTTAATTTAACTAATATGCATCTTTTTAACACTAACAAAACTATGTAGCAAAGTTAAATGTTATCGCTCTCTTTTAGCTGTCAACGTTAGCTTGTAACATACTGTTTAAATGAGCTTGTTCGAGTCGCTGTGAATCAATTAACGAAAATGGAAACCAAAAGAGGCGGTCTTGAATTATTTTTGAATAAAACCAATATGGTTGTATTGTAGTATATTCATGATTTTCAGTTGAATTACTTTTTGGCTCCTACAACGAAACAAATACTACTAAAAATATTGAAATGACTAGTTGATTTTTCACATTTACAATTGTTGTATTAACATTAAAACTAAAATCAGTTAAAAATTGTCCATTTTGCTCGAGCGTTGTCGTTGATGACGATAATGGTTCTGGATTCGATATTACTGGTAATATTGGATTTGCATTTGTTAGAGAAAAATCAATGATTGTTGCAGATTTGGCAGCATTACTTTCAGAATTATGCAACTGATCACTTGATGATTCATTATTATCAGTAAGTACTACTTGAGGGAGAACCAATGGACGAAATGTATTTGGATCTGGAGGTAACAAAATACCAGTTGAGATTTCTTAAAAAGAAAAAGTTACATAATTTTTATTTAAATATCAATTGTAAAAGATCACAATCCTTACGCTCTACTGCTGGCCATATACTTTCAGTGGTTATATGCAAATATTCCTAAATGAAATGAAAGTAAATCGATCTTATACACAGATTATACTCAAAGAAGAACGTAACAGTGAAGATAATTTTTTCCACATACTTTGACTACTTAAACTTACGAGTGCACTTAATGCAGGATTTTGCGACTGTTGACTTGAGTTTGTTTCACTTTTGTCTGGAACTTTGTTATTATCCATTTCTTTGGGAATTAAAAAGTTAAGTCATTACATGCTATTATTCGACATCATTTTTTAGTTGTTGTTATCAAAACAAATATCGTTCAGAGTTCTAGAGAAAAATCCATTTGCTTTAAAATATAAAAAAGACGAACGACCGCAGATGAGCATAGTTTCAATATGCGACTAAGACAATGACGAGTGTTACAGTGTTTAAATATTATCCCATTGGATCTTAAACTCACTTCCTTCAGCGGATGCTGTTGAACGAAAGATGAAATGTCCATTGCGATAGTAGCAGGATTCAGTGTCAAAAGTCTATAGATATTCAACAAGCCAACACTCGATGTGTTCTGTGGCTAAACTTGCTTATGCAAAACTGTATATAATTTAAAGTTTGACCAATAAACAATGTCGCAAAAAATATTCGATAAAACACAAGGATATAATTGCAATCTTTCCGTTTTTCGCTGTTAATCACAAAAAGTACACAACGCTACCTAAAACATTCGATTCGAGGGGGCTTCCAAATTCTGAACACTTGGCCGCAAAATTGTCTGATACGCCTACTTTTACCGAACATAATAATAAAATTAACATGTAAACTAATCGGGATCAGTGAGAAATGAGCCATCAGTTTTTTATTGGAAACAAAGATGAACCAACCATATATTTGAAAGTTATCAACTTCTTGTTGTACAAAGAAATCTTTCTTTTAGCGCCAAATAGTAGCTTCAGAGAGTCAGGAGAAATGCGAAATGACGTTGATAGCGCTCCCATTGGCGCTAAACGGAAACAATGGTGGTGACCATTTTTACTGACCAAATTTGATTGATGTAGCCATGGGATAGACCGATGAAATTTGGGCAGTTAAGTCAGTCGGTCAGTAAAAATAGTCACCACCGAAACAATGCACGTGTGAAAGCGCATCAGCTGGCTTGTTTAAGTCTATCTAATTCTATTGGATGTTTTTTAAGCCTATAGAAATTTGCGTTAGTTCTCATTAATGTGAGAAAATTACGAAAAATTGGGAAAAATGCATTATTGTTTTAAAATTTGATATTTTCCGCTCAACGATAGTCTGATAATGTATCAGTACATATAGTTTTCTCTATATTGTCGAGCACTATTCGGCTCTTCTTTAGTAAGAAGAAAAGTTGACTTTACTCTATTCCAGCTTTGATTGGGTAAACATTTGGACAGGGGAGGCTTCACGACTGAAGGAAGAGACATGTTTGCACTCTGGTTCTTTTGCAGAAAATTTTAGTCTTAAAGCTGACGTCTTGTTACCATTAAAATATGGTGAGTATGCTCATTTCTGATGTTGTTTGCATATCATTCTCGTTTGCAATCGGTTTTCCTGACTTTTGGATGTTTCTTGAAATTTTACATTCATCATTCTGTCGTCATTGATGTAGAGAAAAGTGAAGAGATTTAAACTGTATAAACATAATGCTAAGTTACAGTAGTTGTGGGTTGTAGAAGAAGCACGTTTCTTCGTTTTAATATCGTCAGTTGCCAAACAGCGGAACACGCCTTACCATACTCTTGTAACATGTGATTCTCCACTCACGTTTCCTAGAAGGAAGAGCATCAGCTAAATGGATTCTGTCCGACTTTCTCAATGAATTATTTTTTATTTATTTTCAAAATAGCGAGAGATCCACAAAGGTCAACGCAATGATCCTTTCTTCTACTTTTTACTATTACTGATTGTATATGTTTTTAGGCGTTCGTTAAAGTTGTTAAAAATAAACAATATTTCAAACGATTTCAAGTTAAATCAAAACGACGTCGACGTAAGAAGTTTGTTTTTCTCTATATTATATGGCATTCTTTGTTATTTTATTGTTTACTATTTATTTAGAGGGCAAAACCGATTTCAAAGCTCGTAAAGCTCTTATTCATCAAGATAGAAATAAATATAATACACCAAAATACCGTTTGATTGTTCGTTTTACAAATAAAGACATTATATGTCAAGTACGTATTGTTTTAGTTCATTTATTTTATTGAGAAAACATATAAAAAGCTATCACGGAAACATGAAGATTTTAAACATAGTACATGATTATTTTAACTTTTAATCGTACTGGTTAGTTACTGTTATGCTTAAAAAATGTTGATGGAAGGCGCAAGAGTGTTGCGTTTTGATGCTCTTCTCTTATCGATTCCAATTCAAGTGTATGCAAATGATGAATTATCAATATTTCTGTCATCTCTTCTGAATAAAGTGTAGAATGATCTATTCTGATGCATATTTTATTTTGACTCCGTTTTTTTTTCACTATTATCTACTCGTCTTTGAATCCGGGGTTAATTTTTGTTTTAGGTTGCATATGCTCGTATTGAAGGTGATCATGTTGTTTCAACAGCCTATGCTCATGAATTACCTCGTTTTGGTGTTAAATTGGGTTTAACGAATTATGCAGCTGCTTACTGTACGGGTTTATTATTAGCACGACGTATATTACAAAAACATAAACTAGATAGTATTTATTTGGGAACAAAGGATGTGACCGGAGCTAAATTCGAAAATGAAGCAGTTGAAGGAAAACAAAGACCATTTCGATGTTATTTGGATGTTGGTCTAGCACGAACAAGTACGGGAGCAAAAATATTTGGAGCATTGAAAGGAGCTGTCGATGGTGGTCTCGATATTCCACACAGGTACAATTACAGTTCTTACTGTCTCAGTCCTCTTCTTGATAAATGATGTGCAAAAAATGATGAGTTTAAAGTTCAACTTATTCATTATGAAGAGTTTCATCTTATTGAACTTTCGCCCCTTTCTGATCTTGCACATCTTTGAAGGAAATACACGCTGTTGGGGTGAAAAATAATCGCTCGCGTTTTGTGTATAAGGATCTTGATGAAAGAAAAAAGTTGGAGGAATTTTTTTTTTGACTAAAAAGATTTGATGCGATGCGAAAACGTTTGTTTTCTTTCTAATATTGTACTAGAACAAGCGAAGAATTATATTGATCTTCTTGTGAAGAATGACGAGGTTAGTATCAGACACATTTACATTATTATTATCCCATTTGTTAGAAAACTTTGTGCTGCATGGCCAGAGGTGCAGAATCTATTCGGAAGAATAAAAACTTCTTACGACGGAAAAATTTCTAAAGATTTTCTAGTGTCAGAATATTTCCTACGGCTAATTTCACTAAAAATGCTATTTTTTGAAGTTTTTCCTAAAAAATTTCTTCGAATTCAAAATTTTCCCTCGACTGATGTCGCAGCAAACGGATATATTCCATATCACTGTGCAATGACACTTTTTTTTCTCTTTTAACGATAACGCCCGCTGTTCAACAATAAGAGTTCTTCCATGTAATTAATTGTGCAAAAGATGATGAGTTTAAAGTTCATCTTATTCATTATGATGAGTTTCATCTTATTGAACTTTCGCCCCTTTCTGATCTTGCACATTTACTGACAATAGGACAATCATTTATATAACCATGGGTATTATCCCATCAGTTTAGAAGAACTGATTTTCTGTTGATTTTTACTAGAGCTCTGCGTTAGTATCACTAACCGGAGCTGTACCTGATCCCGATGGATTCGAAACCGTAAAAATCGGTCCTAGTCTGTATCCAAGTCTCGTTGGCTCCATAATTGCACGCAAGTCTCAACTATTTAAGATTTCTTTTTGCAATATTTTCTATTAGATATTAATTCTTTTCAGTTGTTCTTCGTAGTGATGTGCATATGATGAAATATTAATTTTTCTGTCATCTCTTCTGAATACGATATGTAGCATCATATTTCTGATGCACACACAATGACAAGTTTTACAAAATCCGAGCCATAGTTCCTTCACTGAACTGAGCCATAGTCCCTCATGAACGATCTTAGATCCTTTGTCTCCCCACTTTTCATTTTCTCTACCAAAAGAGATACTCTTTTGCTAATCGATAATTTTTAAGGCACTCGGCAGATGCTCTGTTAGTAGTAAAGTAGATTTCTCTTTACTGCCCGTAAGTCGCTATTGATTTTATTTTTATTTAATTTTTTGTGCATATGAGGAAAACATCTGTCACCTCTACTGAATGCAGTTGATGTAGAGAAATCACAAATTATTCTGATGCCCAAATGTTTAATAAACTCTGTTATTAATGACAACTCTTTCCTATTGCGGTTTTAGTGAACGTCGATTTCCCGGCTATAATCGTGCATCATCTGAATTTAAACCTGATGTTCATCGTCGTCACATATTTGGTTTACACGTTGCTGATTATATGAATTCATTGAAAGACGACAATTCCGAACTATATCAAAAGCAATTTAGTCGATTTATCAAAAATGGAATTTCACCAGATAATGTAGGCGTGATATTCTCTCTCTTTCTCCCTTTCGTCTACTCAATAAATATATTGTTATATGTTTGAGAGTGTTTTTTAGTTTGAAGCCTTGTATAAAGCAGCTCATGCAGCTATTCGTGCCGATCCGTCACCACTACAAAAGAAAGAAAAGACTGGAGTCAAACCAAAACGGTATACTTTTTGTTTCCTTTGAATTATTCAATTAAACTGTAATTTGTCCTTTATTTTTCTAGTTGGAACAAAGTGAAATTGGCTCGTTCATCTCGACAAAACCGTGTACAACAGCGAAAAACAGCATTCTTGAAAACAATTACAGGCGATGAAGAATAAACAGGTGAAAGGAAGAAAACAAAAATAATTTAAAATTCAATGATCACAGTTTTGTTTTTGTTTTATTGTTGTTTTATACAGTGAGCGTAAAGTATCACATATATTCGTTTTTCCTCTTTCTTAATGCTGCTGTTGTTTTTGTTGTGTGAAAAAGTAACAGGAATAAAAGAACGTAAACGAACATGCAAAATGAAAACATCGTTCATGATAAAAAAACACATAATCTGACTGTTATTACAGTTTTCATCCTCGATGTTATGTATGTTAGAAAAGTGATCCGACTATTTACCGTTGTTTAATGTGATATATGAGAGATTTCTACAGAGTCTGTAATAGCATTGTTTGTCTCCGTTTTATTTACAGCAGCTGCGGAAACAATGTGAAAGTGAGAAGTTGTTTAGATGATTGTGTAAACACCTGTTGATTTTTTTATTGCCTTAATTATCAAATTTGTATTATCTGTTCTTCTTATATGTTTTTCTCTTATGGGCAATCAAAATTGTTTGAATTTTGACGGAGGGAGGGACAAGAAATGAGTTAAAATTATGTAATCTAAATGACTGTATTGAATAGTATTTAAAACTAAGAAATGAAGTATGTAATTCACGAAGAAATTTTCCATACTAGCATCGATAGCTACAGCCTCCTCCAACACCATCATCCGAACAACAAAAAGTTATTTTTTCACCGTTTACGTATTTTACTCGAACGTTTCGGAAATGATTTCAACGTTCACGCAAGAGTACATGGGAACCTGTTTCGGAGTAACTACTAAATTAAATAAATTATACTTTCTGGTTAAATATCTTTTGACAAGAAAAGCTTCGATAAGTTTAGTGAATTCTAGGAATACATGTCATACTTTAAATAACTTAACAATAAACTTTTTACAGTAACAAATATTTCTCGTTCGGAAGTTTTATTAGCAGTCTAATGAACACGCGTGCATTTTAAAATAGTCCACATCAATCCAAATAAATAATGGGTAAAGTGTTGAGTTGAACATTTGCTATTTTATACCACAAAAACATATTTATTTTAGATTTAAAAAACAAAAGTGTTTAAAAAAGTAGATAAAATAGTAGACTACTAACAACAGTTCTGTGATATGAATGAAGTTAATTCGTTAACATTAGTCAATAACAAATTTTAATTTATTTGTTAAACTTGACTATGATTACCATTAACATGATTACCAAGATTATCGTATTCGTCAAATAGAGCATCATAACTCTAAAAATATAAAATCTATTAAAATATTTTAATATTTTAATTTTGTATGTTTTTCAGACCTGATAATTATCTTGTGCTGGAAATTTATAAATATAACAATTTTGTTGATCAGTTGCTCGTTCTTCTAAATCCATACCTGTTATACTGTACAAATACAAGCAAAAACCATATTATATTAATATAAATTGTCATGCATTACACAAATTCTGTTTCATACCTCAAACGCATATTTCTTCTCATAACGTCACGAAAATCACTCTAAACAAAGAGATAGATAATTATCTATTATCGCAAAGTAATAGTTAAAAACATACTTTAGTTTGTTTAGCTTCAACATTAGCTTTGACAAAAAATTCCAAAACAGCTATGATTATAGCCAATGCTAAACCACCAATGAGAATGTAAAATATACCAGCAACATTAACAAGATTCAATGCATTGCTTTGTTTTGCTTCCTATAAATAATTGCAAAAATAATGTTATATCTTTATTGATCATAAAAAGAGATTACTTTCGTTGTTCCACTTCCACATTCGGATCTAAAAAGAGTAGAATATTCATTGAATATCAATTATAATCTAATGAGCTACCGTACCTGTCATACCACCATTGTTTTTTCAATGTATTTAATGTTCCATCTTCACTCATTTCTAATACGGCTATATTGATTGCTTCACTAAAAATCAAAACTAACCGATGCATAGAACAACACATTGCTTGTTGTACGGTATACCGAAGTTCTGATCCAACTGGTGTTGCGATACCATAACCTTTTGAATCTAGATTACTGCCAATTTTCATTGTATCACACGGATGACGTTCATTCGTATACTCATTCTTAATCGACTAATTAAAGAGAAAATGATTACAATAAAATAAGATTACAAACGTGTATTGAAACACTTACTTCGAGTAAAAACGCATATTTTCCTCTTGATTTCCTAGAAAAATATCGTTTAACTATCGCTTAGATCAACGCTAATTTAACTTTTGTCAATTATTACCGAACTTTGTTTATTCCTTCATTATTACTATTCACCATCACATCGTCACCTTGTTGCATAAACGTGTACATTCGTTGAAATATTTTCACATCTGATTTCTAATAGACGAAGTATAACATGGTTATTCAATAGCTAATGCGGTATTATGCATTCTCAAAAAACAAGTGTCCCACCAGCTAATAAAGGCACTTTGATGGACGATGAACGGAGCACTTTGAGTACCCTCTTCCTGGCACTTTCAAGCACAAAAAGGTGTCCCATCGAGAGAAGTGCCCTATCGTGGGCTATTTTAAGGATCCGATTCATCGCCCGAGGCGCATTTGTTTTTTCACAGTGTGATACTAACCTCAAAGAATGTTTGCGTTGAACCTCCTTAAAAAAAAGTAGTCGGTATACTTTTGAAGAAAAATCGTTAATCGGTATTCGTCAGCTTTACCTCGCACCACTCCATACTTGATATCCGTTTGTCGTGCTAGATCTTCCACGCTTTCAATAGGTGTAACCATTCGTTCGACGGTAAGAAATGCAGCTAAACGAGATAGAAGTCTGAAAAACTTGCTCTCAAATCGCCACTGATAGATCTCATAATACCTAAGTTAGCTGTATACGATGAAACTAAGATCATTGAAAAATACCACCATACACTGGCCACTAATCTGCCTGATATTGATCTGAAAACATGCTATGTACAGTGAAAGAACAACTCGCTATTAAATATTATCCACCTTGGTATGAAATCGACTCCTTGCTGCATGAATGCTGCTAATGCAAAAAATAATGTATTTAATATGGAAAACTTGTTTGATAATTGTGGTGTTGCTGATTCAGTCGTATCATCTTCAATGTTCCATTCGTACGGCGAAAATCGACTAACGAGAAACAGAATAACACTTACACCAATGTAAGCGAATGTCACACACATCCAAATTCCGTTTGATAATGGTGCCATAAATGAAAACACACCTTTGAAAAAGCAAATTTTACATGAGCATGAACGAAAGAAGTACGTAAAGATTAGAGCTAACTTTACCTGGTTTATCTTTTTCTGGTCTTTTAATCAAAATACTGATTCCCAAATTCATAAACGGTTTTGAAAAATCAACAACACTCTCCCGTTGACTAGTGATAGTTAACGGAGCTATGGCGAGATCAGCTTCCTAAAGCAAACTCATCGTATTCGCGGAATAAATAGAAATCAATTCTTGCTTACATGACGAACGAGTTCTGCAATCATTCCGTTCCATAGACCATCTGTCGGTTTGTTTCCAAATAGACCATCTTTGACAATACGAAATTTACAACGAATTTCTAACTTTTTTTCACATATCAAACCTAAAACAGAGCATATCATCGAACTATCCTGGTTTCCTCTCTTTATTTTATCACATACGAGCCAAATCGACACAATAACCGTATAAATGATCAAATGGTAGAAATTGTCCAGCAGCTGTTGATGAATTCAGATTACCAGCAGCTGTTGTATTTATCATTATGAATGGCTCATCCTTAACAAAATTGTGCATTATTACAAGTCTTATTCTAAAATTAGTACACATACCAAAATTGTTGTTATGATCCTCTCTCGTCCCTTATCAAAATCATGTGTTTGTCTACCTTGAAATACTTCAGTATCATCCATCACAAATAAATCGTTAGTAAAGTTTCCCACCTAAAGTACAGTCAGAAAATATTATACAGTACAGTATCTAAACAATATTCAATGATAACAACGTTTATATTGATAAAAATAGTATCTTACATTTCTCGGTAATTTATTCATTGTTATTTGATGTACATCCAACATATAATTAATTCGCTCACCATATGCATTAAACTCAATATGTCCAGAAAATCCGTCGAATGTAGTCTAAGATACACAAACATTATTATCATTTAATTTCCAGAAATATTACAGTGGTACCAACAGATTTCATAATGTCGAAGAGTAATTCTCCCATTCTATGTTTTTCAACCGCTTTGTGTGCGGATCGGCATCGAATTTTAAGATAATCTGAGTTGTTATCTAACGATATGTTAGCACCTTTCTCATTGAGTAACGTCAGAGCTCTCATGAACAATTGAACACTATCGGCTAATGCTTTTTTCTCGAACTAAATCAATAATACATATGAAATTTTAGATCTGATGCATACAACGACACTCACAGATGGTAACGATAAACGATCTGTCGAATTATCGACTATTGAGCTTTTCAATAATGTCACAGGTTGGATGGATCTCGGTAGAAAATATGTCACATTCACTCCACCGTATCGAAAAAATCGCATATCAATTCTATCCGCTTCCTAAATGCAAAACATGAATAACTTACAAAAATTAAATAAATTCTTTTTCACATACGAGACTCATTATAATGTAATGGTAATGCGGTGTTGTCATTCCATAATGTCGAATCTTTTAAACGAAAAACCAAACAATAATGAATATTCAACAAGAAAATATAAAAACTTTACTTGAATAAGTAAATTGATATAACTCTCAAGTGAATTTAAATCTAGGACAATATAGCGTTCTTCTTTTGTTCCTCGATCTTTAATTTCAACACTTTGTAAAAGATTTCTTGTATGATTTTGATTTGTAACATCATTTAAACGTCGTACTTGAATATCGAGAATATCATAACTTTTTTCACGCGCTTGAGCAGCCATCATTGTTTGAAAACGTCCGAATGCTAGAACATCACAAGAATATATCGTGTTATGTTTGAAGATATACTCTAATCGGAATATTAATTTCACCTTCCTCTCCTTCGACAACATAATATAATTTATTAACTTTGTAATGTTTAATAAATGCTGTGAGAGCTTGTAAGAGATCAATTTTCATTGAAAAATGAAAATTCTTAACGGCATCAAATTGTTTATTATAATCGAAATAATCTAACGAAATCATTGGTACTCGTAAACGATTCATAAATGATTCGAGTAGACGTGTTTTAGGATTATCTAAACTTGATATTAAACCAATTGCACCGTTCTCCAAACGAGAGCAAACTAAAAGTAATATTCATGTAGCAAACTAATTATAATTAAAATAACTCTACATACTTCGATGAAATCCAGTATAGATATTGGAATCCTAAAAAGCTCATAGATATACCGATGATGTTCAATGACGAGAAAAGAAAAGAAAATCGAACATATAACTGAATTGACATATTATTTACACAATTTCTGATAGGTAAAGGGTTTTTTTTTGAATATAAAAAGAAATACTTGACATACGCTGACGTTTTCGAATACACTTTGTATTCTATAATCCTTGGTCCATTTGTAACTGTTATTAATTGTATTAAGAGAAGCAGATATTGACTCCGAAAATGTATTACTGGTATCATTTGCTGTTGAATAATCAACAAACCAACCTAAAAGTAGATCTCAACAACTAGTTTAATTCAACTTCAGAAGCTCAAAAATCGTGGTATTATCATACTGCTACGATTTAATGTAAACCTCAATAAAACATCTTACCAACAGGTATGTTGGTTTCAGCTGAAAGCCGAATAAAGAAATGTCCAATTAATAAATGTCCAATTAATAAAATGGCATAAGTTGTCACTACAATAATGTGCGTCATTGTCTTCTACAATCTCTTATATTTTATTTAAGCATATGGTATTGACAAAAGTATGTAAGTTACTTCAGCTATAGAACGTCATCATAATGTTGATTTCGTTTAAACTGTTACATGAATTGTTAATATTTACTTATGGTTTTGTTTCAATAATGCTTATTTTTGGATAGATAACTCGGATATTAATTATACTATTCTTCTTTCTTTCACACAGAATGATGTCAATCTTTAGACAAAAAAATTTCTCAATGATATCTTTACGAACACGCGTTTACTTTTTTTCCTATAGGGTACCACTACTTGAAGAAAATAATAAATGTAGATAATCAATAGTAAGAATAATAGATGTATTATTCTCTTCTCTCTTTTTTATTTTTGTTCTTTCTTTCCATCGTCTTAGGCAGCGTGAGTCTTAATGATATTCGTCATATTTTTGTTGTTGTTGTTGTGTAAAAAGTGAATTTGTCCAAAAAGTCTCATGTTCGCCTGCCTTAGCTCAAAATAGGCACTGTGTAGAAGAATAGTCCCTAATAGTGGTATCTAGCCTACATCCATCTGTTTCTATGAACTCTTAGTTTTGTAGTATAAATCTGTATTTAGTGAGGAAGGAGGTCATAACAAATGTCAATATGTACCATATTCAATTTGTGATTATCTGATTCACTGATAACTGATTCTCTGGTTATCTATCGTATACCCACATGTATTTAGAGCAGTTACTTTTCCATGTAGATTTTTAGAGTTCACTCTCACTACCAACAAAACCGCTCCCGTACACACATTTCCAGATGTCTTAAAATTTTACACATCCATTCAGATAATCTGATTCTCTGATATGTTCTCCACATCTGCATACGTGGGCGTCTATTTTAGCAAACGATCAGAGAACCAGATAATCACATAAATCAATTTGCTACACTTCCAATATGCTAAATACTTACAATTGAATATTCTCTATGTATGCTATGTCATTGTTGCAGTCATATCTGAACACTTTTTATGTATGATGTTTCTATTATAAAGCAGTGAAGCAGACAATCAAGTAATCTTAAGCGTGGAATAGTCTTATCTGAGTATTCTCTTTGGACGTTGTATCTCATCCATGGCCAGAAAATCAAAAAATAAGATACTCTTATATGCTGAATAGTGGCATTTGAGTATTATATATGTGTGTTATGCCTTTCTTACAAAACGGCGAAGCAGACAATCAGGTAATTCTAGACGTGGGATAGTCCGAAATGAGTATTTCCTTTGCATAGTTTGCCTTTTCCATCGACCAGACGGGAGAAAATCAAAAAATCCGATATTTTGAATAGTCATATTTGAAAATTATCCATGTATAGTAATAGTAATGTATTTCTTATGATCTTTCTGTGATATATCTTTCTCATACTGCAGAGATGTAGACAATCAGATACTCCTATATAATGAATAGTAATAGTTGAATATTTTCTATGTATGATATGTCTTTGCCCTACAGCAGAGATGTAGACAATCAGATACTCCAGTATAATGAATAAGCATATTTGAATATTTTCTATATAAGTTATGTCTTTCTCCTACAGCAGAGAAGTAGACAATCACTCCTATATATTCAAAAGTAATACTTGAATATTTTCTATGTATGTTATGTCTTTCTCTTACAGTAGAGAAGTAGACAATCAGATACTCCTTATATTGAATAGTAATATTTGAATATTTCTATGTATGGTACATACAGCAGAGAACAAGACAATCAGATACTCTTATGCAAGGAGGAAAAGGCAGCTCCGGGACCTTTCCGGAGTGTGCGATGCTTTGTGATACTATACAGAGCTTTCCAATACTCTCCGATTCAACGCGGAGCTTTCCAATGCTGGGAGATGCTGTAAGGAGCTCTGCAATGCTAAACGACGCACAAAAATTTCTAATAGCCCACTGATTGTCTGCATAGGGATTGGACTAGAGAACATTTAAATTTGTTTTGCTGAGTGTGTTTGTATCAGAAAATAAGAATGAAAGCCAAATTTCTTACTATTCATAACAAATACGTGTTTGTCTTTTCTGTTCGAATAAGAATGACGGTTTTTTCCGGGCAGAGAAAATAAATTCGAAAGAAGAGTACGTTTTAACTTACTTCATTCGATAATAACTTTCTTTCAATACATGAACATCTCCACATCAATCAATTGTAAATTATCTCATGGCGACAACAACAACAACAACAGTCGCAGCTACTACGACAACTATAAATATTCATTCATCACCAGATGAAGTGTTATTCTATGCAAATGATACATCTTATGAATTTGTTGAACAATATCTAGGTACAGACGAAATGGAATTGAATAAAATACGAGTTATCAAAAATACAAGGACATTAATTCAATGGTTTAGACGTGTTAAAAGTTGAATGTGAAGCTTTGGATGATATACAAATTCGTGTATGTTTTAAATTGAAAGATAATACATATATGGTGAAACCGGGTATGGTAGTAGATGCTGAAGGTTTTCTTGTGGCATTAAGAGCAAAAGATAAGAATATTTGAAAAAAATTGAACAACAACACAAAAAATCAAAATGAGAAACAGATAATGATAAATCAAAAGCAAATATAAATCTAGCATCTCCATCATAACCATTGACTGCTAATTCTTCTGCTACATCTTCATTAGCATTCTTATCGATCGATAGTTCGTTCTCGTTCTTATTCTAGTTTCTTATCGATAGTTCTCCATCTGCACCCTCACAAGCACTTCCAAGTATAAATGATTGTAAGCAATCAATTAACGAATTTATTGAAAAGTGGTGCAAATCATAGGTGCAAGATATTTTATTACATGAAAGTAATGATTATACACTATTTATCAAAGAATCAAATATCCATTTGAAATGCAGCTGTGGTATCGAAATGAAATTACCATTTCAACCAAAAACAAAAACATTTCAAATTTCATCTTTCTACCCACATGTCAAACAGACAAATTATTCAATGATCAAACAAAAATAAAATGCTAATCAATAACTAGCAACAAATGAACAAACAATAGATCATGATCAAAGCAATATTACAGCAGTTGTTGAAGACGTTGATAATTCACAAACTCAACATAGCAATAGTCAACCTTTGTCGTTATAATTATTTGTAAAAATATCCGTGCAAGTTTGAAGCGAATTCATAAGCCAATAATAATAACATCTGGTGCAGCAAATGAAGCCATCATCAAAAAGATCGAAAAATAGACAATGAGAAAATTCAGACAGTGATTTTATTATTCTCTTATATTCTTGAACTTAGTAATATGTATTCAACTCCTTCCATTAGATATATTTAAAAAGATTTTTGGTTTGACCCATACTCAACGATTTATATTTTTATTATTGTGTAATTATTTTACTGAAGAACTTTTTGTTTTTCTAGAATAATATTCCATATTTTATATTTCAGTCATATAGTAAAATTTAGTGGAGAATTTCTTTTTTTTACATACCTCTATGTCTGAGTAGAACACTAATGAATTAGTAAGACAACACGCAGAGAAAGTAGTTTGTGTTCATGCACACAGAATGCAAAATCTGTTGCTTTTCCTGAAAAAAGAGCTCGTTCTTATTCATGTTTTTTCAGTTTAAACTTAAATAACACTTTATTGATTTGTATTCTGATCTGTGCAACAACATTCGCAAAAATTTTCAGTATGATTACCACAGATGAAATTTACGATTTTGATTGTGAAGATTTAGTTGATTTCAAGAGACGTGCCTGTTTTATCCAAATGAATATGTTGTCCCACCAGGAATTAAATACAATATTGAGTATGTCACTGAATTATTGAGAAAATTTCAATAAAGTAACGAATAATGATACTAATTTATCTAATATAACAACGACATGTTCACAAGCAAATGAACAACTACTATGCATTCCAAAATACAAGACAGTCAGCCACTTTTTGAATAACTTTTCCCAGGAGACAGCTAAAGACATGCGGTTTTCAGCATTAGAAAGAAGACACTTAAAGACATCTTTTCATAAGCGGAATCGAGTTTTCAAAACATTTCTCAAATCGGTTTTCTAAGAGATCTTTGGAAAACCAGCTCCGTTCTCAGAAAACTAACATACAATGTTAGTAACTTTTTTGTATGCGTAGCTAGTCCGGACGTTACTTCACAAAATTATGCAACCCCCGGCTCTCTGGCCATCGTCGTTCGAGCAGGGCTCGCTTTCCTCGAGCACGTGTCTATTTCCGAGTAGACATCTCTGGGAATCTCAAAATGCCATGGATTATAGGTAATCGACTACGCTGAGCATAGTGGCAACATTTGTTTTTGTGTAGAAATGAATATAACTTCGCCAAAGGCATTGTTGTGAAAAACCGGTTTTTCGCCTGTTACTAGCAAAAATTAAAATCCTTATATCTCGATCAAATCTCATGCTGACTCAAGGAAATTTTCAGAAAAGGCTTAAAAGGTGTCATATGTTGTTGACCACGTGCTGTTTGGGACGGATGCACTCAATATCTCTAGCTAGGAAGACATTACAACCAGAGTTTCCAATAGCAGGTGTACCAAGCAAAAGCAAAATG